TTGGGAGATGTTGCCCGTTCCTTTCTTCTTGTCATTAAGACCAAGAGGGAATGCTGTCCCAAGCTTCTCTATCCAGTAATCCTCCAGGAGAAGTAAATCATTTTTGACATCGGTGGACATGTCAGAATCAACATAATCTACAATCTGTATGGAAGCATCTGAGAAGACGTGACCAGGAATATTAAAATGTTCATATAAAAATGTGGATGATTTGGCTTTGACACAATTTCTGTGGCTATTGACTCTTTTATGAAGTGGTTGAGTTGTTTCTCCAACATATTGTTTTTTACAGGTAGAACAGGTAATAACATAAATAACATTATTAGTTTTACAATTAAATATAAAATTTGTATGTCCAAAGATAAAATCATTATTAAAAGTACTGCTCCTAAATGTATTAACAGGATTAAAACTGTTGCAAGTGAGACAACCTCTACCATTGCAACATCTAAAAGTGCTAGAAAAGACATTACTAGGGGTTACCCATTTATTCAAGGATTTTGAGAAAAATTTACCATTACGTTTAACACACAGGTGTACTTTGCTTTCGATGTTCACAGTTCTAATCCTGATTTAACAGCTGTGAAAAATTGCTTTCTGGAGATAAAGCAATGGATGACAGTTAACTTCCTAAAACTGAATGATGAAAAAACAGAGTTCATTGATATAGGACCATATGTCAGCCCAATCCAGACAATGGATTTAGGAGACCTCTCAATCTGTCCTGTTAGCAAGGCCAAGAACCTGGGATTCCTTTTCGATCACCAAATGAATCTGGACTCTCAAATAAATGCTGTGTCCAAAGTATGTTATTTGAATCAAAGGGACTTATCAAGAATCGGTTCAAAGCTTTCCCATGAACTAAAAGTTCAGTTAGTTCACTCCAATATTCTCTGTTTCATAGACTACTGCAACTCAGTCTATTATGGTATAACAGAAAAGAATCTCCATAAGCTACAAAAGATACAGAACAATGCTGCTAGATTTATTTTTGGTCTTTACGGAAAAAATATACGTGAACCTATCATGCCTTACCTCAAAAAGCTCCACTTTTTACCTGTTCGGTTCAGAATCAAGTTCAAAATATCACTTCTGGTCTTCAAGTGTCTTAATAACATAGCCCCTCAGTACTTACAAGGACACATCAATCTAAGGGAAGTACGAAGACAAAGTTCCAGACTAGATGATGACTTTTATTTGTTAAAAGTTCCTCCTGCTCCTCATTTCAGACGAACGGATGCTGCATTTATGTTTTGCGGACCAAAAATTTGGAATGAACTACCCTACTCAGTGAGATCATTATCATCTGTAGAATGTTTTAAAAATGCTCTAAAGACGTTTTATTTCCACCTAGCTTTTGATAATATTTCTAATATTTGTCCATAAAGTCTGAACTGATATGAAGGTGCATAATTTTGGGAACTTCATGCAAATATTTGTTCATAAAATCTGAACTGATAAAAGTCCATAATCTTGGTATTTCAACACTAAGTCTCGCTTGAATGACTTAAATGTACATCTTTGTTGGGTATATTTTAATGTCGAAGCGTGTAATAAATGTTAGAATTTATTTATTTATTTATTTAACTTCGTCAATTTTTATTCCGTTTGGCATAATCTTTTCAGGTCATATTCCTCATTTAATGAATATTGCAAATTTAGTATGTTATATATTCCAATAGTATGTTAAAACGGAGTTCCTAGCATGTTCACAAACATGTTTATAAACAATTCAATGTTGATTGGGTGTGGCCTCTATTGATGAATCCTTGAATGAGTAGGTACAGTTTGTCATCTGCAAAGCAACAAGTCTCATTTATATGAAACAAAGTGTAATAAACTTTAACCTGACTTTTCACTTGAAAATTTCTCATATTCTATAAAATTTCTCATATCCTGTTAGAGTTTGTGATTGAGAAACCAAGCTCATAGTTTGTGTTTCCTCGACAAAAATTGCAAGAAGATCCTATTTCTATCAACACACTGTCCAAGCTCAAGGGAAAAATTCATATAAATTCAATATTCACTGATATTGAATTACATCAAACTAATTTCTATCCATGATCAGATAGACCAACACTTTTCTTTATATAGCCTCCAAACTGTGGAATAGCATACATAAACGGATTCTAAATGAGAATGGGGAAATCCTCACTACTTCTGTATCTTTGGTTAAATTACGCTGTAAAAGTATCATCCTGGGATCTCAATCCATCAACAATAATAACACCTGGACTTACCACAACTTTCACATCGCCCCTCACTCAATCACAGACCAAACCATTTCATCACTCACTCACCAAACTGCCGACCCAATATCTATTGAAGTGGCGAAAATTTTCTAGACAAATGATATTTCGATATTATTGCTGCAGCAGATACAAATACCAACATTATTATATTACCAAACGTTTGAACCTTTAAATTAACTAGGAAAGTCAATCCTCAACTTGACTTTTACTGTTTTAAACAGATATGATGATATTAACTTAATTTATTATTTTTTAAAATTTTTTTATTACATACTCCTTCTTAGTGTGGTGACTTGGGGTCCATAAATATAACAATACAAGCTGATAAACCAAAAAGAACAACTGGGGTAGGTAGGTAGCCCTGGTGGGTGCGTAAACTTTACGGTCTGCTCTCTCCAAGATCAGCCTGCTTCTCCATTTTACCGTGAAGCCTAATTTCTAGTTTTTATAAAATATACAATGCAAGTGCAGGTTTACTAATCTTAATCTACTTAACAACTCAATAGCCCAAGTCACCATACCCGTAGTATATTCCATGGTAATAGAAGAGCTTTAAGGGTCACGAAATCCTCTCCGAACCTCCACGTGGTGTGGCCTGGTTGGCACTAACGGGTGGTGTGCTCTCTTGTTGAGCACAAAGGTTGGGCCTTGCCAACTCAAAGTTCCCATAGGAATCAGGAAGTCAACACTAACAGCTACCAAGCACCAGGAAATTTCTCTTTCAGATATCAGGTTACAAGATAGTACACACACAAATGACGATACATTAGACACAGATACCTAGCTCTAAGAGCTACTAAATCACCAGGAAATTCTCTTTCAGCTTTCAGGTCCCATCGAAGTCACCCACCACAGAGCTAGGGATTCCAATTCGCTCATCCTGACTACAAGGACACACTGATAATGAGTAGTCCTGGCACTTCTCCCTCCAGTAACCACTTTTCAGGTCTTTTCAGTTAAGACAGCTAATGCGTAAGGGCTGACACACGCTAGACACAGGCTCGTGATAAGACAGAATTAGGGATTTAAACTCTGACTACGAGGACACACTGATAGCGAGAATTCCTGGCACTTCTTCCTCCAGTAACCACTTTTCAGGGGACCGGGTTAGCTTGGCCACACTCTTCATTGAAGTGTGACTGGACGCTCTACAATCATCTAGTAGCAGCAGAGTTTGACTGACACCCTTACTGGTTCTATTCAGTTTCTACAGCAGAAGATCTCAACACTCGAAAACAGTTCATCTCGGACATCCTGCAGAGCTGCTTTTTCACAGCCTGCCCCATTACACGGGGAACCCTTAGATCTACAGTACCCTGGTGGCGAGCATAGCTCACTAAAGCATAGTGGACCTCTTTAGTTCTGAGACGCAAAGCTAACCGGATCAGGAATAAACATCAATGCAATGCTTAGGGGATGCAAATAGAACATACAATGTTTATCGAATGCATTACTCAATCTTTTGATTCATTTTTTTAGCTCGACGTTACATGGTAACATTTCAGGACTGACATTCCTCCTTCAGGTTAATTGAGGAAATCATACCCGCTATTTGCGTTATACATGGCAAGTATCTGGACTTATGATAACTTAGGATCTCCATCAATCATAAATTCCTCTCAGATTCCCAGGCTGCATTTATAGCGCTTAACAGCACCAGTTTTAACTCCAGGTTCGTTCTGAACATCTCAGACCAACTCACTAGGTATTCACATCGAGTAGGACTTCGTTCCAGGACATTAAGGAGTATACGGTAAAGAACTAGCGGAAGAATTCGCAAGGGACGACCAATCCAACAACATCCCCATAGGACCAGAACCCTTACTCCCAAATAGGCCACACTCAGTGACAAAGGAACATTCCACTTATGATGTTCCTCCACAAATTAAATACAGAAACTTTTATTTTTCTGGAACTCACATCAGATGGCTAACATGGTCGCTTTCAGAATAGGTCACAGCCCACTAGTTTATTTTCAGAACGTGGCAAACAACGTCAACTTCAAGACGCAAGATTGCGAACACTTTTCAGGAGAAGCAGCAACATCCCAGCACCTCCTCTACAAGTGCATCCAGATCATGACGTTCAGAATGAGGATAATTGGTAAACTCTACCTTAACAACAGTAAACTACATCATATCTTCAAATTTGTGGAACAGTCGACAAGACTGGATAGGGAAAACCCTTTTGGGTAACCTCCTTGGATTCTTCACCAGGAACTTTCGCTAAATCCCATACTAGGAACTCAACCTAGGCCCATCTCCGCATAGAGACATATCTCCCAGGCTTTGACCTTGCTCGGAAGTCCCTTGTCTACCCGCAGAAGTACTACAACGGAAGTGGGTTTGCTCTGAGACAGGTAGTGACAGCTTCAAGACTCCAGGGGTCTGTTGCATTGATATTTATTATTTTATGATTTCGTATATACTTTGGGAGTCCTGGCGTGCAGCTAGCAGGAGTTGCATTCTGTGGGCACGGTGAGAAGGCCTCCATCTTAACGTAAGAGGCCAGAAACCGTTGACCAGAACAGAGAGAGAGAGAGAAGAGCTTTAAAGTTTTTCAAATTGTTGCTATAATTGATTTAAATAAAAATTTGTTGTTTTCTTGAAAAATTTGTTGTTTTCTTGATATCATGTTGATGACTGTAATACTAGTTTATAGCTCATTTTTTAATGTCACGAATCTTCATTTAAATCTTTAATGACGAACTAAACTTTATTCTAACTGACATTTAATCTTATATTATAGCCCAGAATGGTGAAAGAGCAGCGGCTATTAAGACGAGATTAGCCTCAAATACAAAAAAACTTGAATATGGTGTTAAGCGCAAAACATAAGGATGAACTGTAAGTACATTAATTCATTCAATTATTTTATGTTTAACTTCTATTTCTATCTCATTCTGATCACTTGATCACTGTAAATTCGTATTAACGAGTACTCTGTACTATGTGTTCAGTATAGTGATTAAGTGTGAAGTGTCAATTTTTTAACATTATTTCTTCACATTATTTGTCATATGAGGAGTTATTGAGGACTGCTGTGTTGATTAAAAATTCGTGTAGATTAAAGGTTGATATTAAATACACAATCAAGTCAAAAACATTAGTTAAATTACCACATATTGTGTTCAGTAAAATATGCTATTATAGGAAATTAAATAAATGCATCGCAATTTTTATCGTTAAAAAATGTGTATAGTTTCATAGCATTTATAGTTTCATAGTACATATATCGCTATAAATGTGATAATGTGATCTTCAAACACAACTTTCATATTTCATTTACGACTTAGGTTCACGACTTTAACAGATGAATTGTTATTCGTTTTGGCATAGTTACACAGCATAGCAACCCTTATCTAGTTCTAATGTACCGTCACAATAGTGACTTTAATATACCCTGTATAGGTTAACCATGTACTTGAACCATGATAACAATATATCTGTGTACAATATACTGCGTACAATACCTCGTACATATTAAATATCACAGTGTTTTACACGTGTAAGATGGTGATGAATCCTTGAGGTGCTCAAGACAATAACGACACTGTTATCATACAATTTGTTACACTAGCTGGATACTATATGTTTTGTAATTAGTTGACTTTCGTTTCATTTATCTGTCTACTGTTACTGACTTACTAGCCTGCTTATCTGTAGATATCCCGCTACATTTATATTTCATGTTTCATCCATAACATGTTTCATGCATTACAACCCTTATAATATACCCTGTAATATAGGTTAACAGTTTGTGTAACCTCCCCTATTACCATTACTCGTAGACTTGAAATAAAAGTTACAGCAATAACATTGTGTACTATTATATTAGAGTGTATTGTATTGTGTATTATATTGTGTATTATATAATATATAGTGTATCGTATTGTATTAATTAACAGACCTTTGAGCCACATCAAACCGAGATTCCGTACGTTATGTACCAGTCGTTTCTCTTTGTACTATCGCAGTATTACCACGTTTTCTTACTACTGTATAGCTGATGTTTGCCTTACGATATCAGTAGCTGTGATCCTTAACTTGACGAGAACGTCCTAAACTTACAATAATAAGACTTTCAGAGACTAAGTGGAGGTTGTATCTTTGTTTACAATATTGTTATTCTCGCAATGCTTATATCTTCACATCACAGTTACTTCGGTTACTTTCGTTCTAACTTCTGAGCATTATCTAGAGATCTTATTTTGTTAACAATATGTGAGGGGATTAAACTTCAAGTTTCAAAATCTGAGTTTCCTCCGGTGAAATGGAAATAGTGAGATTGGATACTTATAATTCTTGTACGGGCTGTACCCAGTAGTTAGTATACCTAATTACTTTTATAAAGAGTGATATTATGTTAGTATAGAGAACTTGATATGTTCATGTTGGGTAGGCGGATAGTCAATCAGTTCTATCATCTTTGGGATCCTTCATATATTACTTAAGCCAGCTTTTGTCGATTTAGACACCCTCTAAACCACTTAACTCATAGCTATTGTGTGGAAATAATTCTATTGTATTTGTAAGTTTAACCAAACCCCCTGGCCCTAAGTTAGCCATAGGCATAACAGTATATATTGTGAATGAATTGATCCATTTGCAGAGTTTTGGTAATATTCCTCTTTTATCGTTTCAGAACATTCATACAGATAATGTTGCACTCAGCACCGTTTTTTTGATAAAATAAGTGGCGGAATGAAGCCGGAGGGGACCTAGAAGTATTGCTACTGACGTAGTAGTATTGCTACTGACGTAGTAGTATCGCTCCTGACTTAGTAGTATCGCTCCTGACCTAGTAATATTGCTACTGACCTAGTAGTATTGCTCCTGACCTAGTAGTATTGCTACTGACGTAGTAATATTGCTACTGACCTAGTAGTATTGCTACTGACCTAGTAGTATTGCTCCTGACTTAGTAATATTGCTACTGACCTAGTAGTATTGCTCCTGACCTAGTAGTATTGCTCCTGACCTAGTAGTATTGCTACTGACGTAGTATTATTGCTACTGACCTAGTAGTATCGCTCCTGACCTAGTAGTATTGCTACTGACGTAGTAGTATTGCTCCTGACTTAGTAATATTGCTACTGACCTAGTAGTATTGCTCCTGACCTAGTAGTATTGCTACTGATCTAGTAGTATTGCTCCTGACTTAGTAGTATTGCTCCTGACTTAGTAGTATTGCTCCTGACTTAGTAATATTGCTACTGACCTAGTAGTATTGCTCCTGACCTAGTAGTATTGCTACTGATCTAGTAGTATCGCTCCTGACCTAGTAATATTGCTACTGACCTAGTAGTATTGCTCCTGACCTAGTAGTATTGCTACTGACGTAGTAATATTGCTACTGACCTAGTAGTATTGCTACTGACGTAGTAGTATTGCTCCTGACTTAGTAATATTGCTACTGACCTAGTAGTATTGCTCCTGACCTAGTAGTATTGCTCCTGACCTAGTAGTATTGCTACTGACGTAGTAATATTGCTCCTGACCAAGTGGTATTGCTCCTGATCTAGTAGTATTGCTCCTGACCTAGTACTCTAGTAGTATTGCTCCTGAACTAGTAGTATTGCTACTGACCTAGTAGTATTGCTCCTGACCTAGTATTATTGCTACTGACCTAGTAGTATTCCGCCTGACCTAGTAGTATTGCTCCTTTCGCCATCTTACTTGATTGCTTTCTGCGCTAAGTGGTTTTGTTGTTTGCTCTCTCTGAAGAGAGATGATTGATTGGATTGGATCTTCTTAACGAAGATATAAGGAAATGCATTCAAGGATTTTGTTTGCTAACAAAAACCAAGCTTAATGAGCTTGCCACTTCAAACTTTGAATACCGTAGTAAACTGCCAAGAAACACTGTCTGGCGGAATTTGAGCGGAATATTGTGCATGTGGTCTATAGTAACTATGCAGGGAATTTCTGTTTTCAGCTTTATTTGTTTCGTTCCCATTGTGTTGTCCCTTATTCAGGCAACTTGGTGCGTTGTACTTTAAAACACTTACACTATATAAGTATATTTATATACTTATAGTATATTTATTGTTTACCTTTGTCGATTTGCTTCTTTAGGCCTCAACTGTGCCCCAAGTAACTTTTTGTCCCAAGTGTGTCCCAAGTGTGCCTAGCTAGATTACCAAATTCCCATATACTTATATAATAGTGTAAATGCTATATTAATACCATGCTATATAAGTCTCTTTGAAAACTTTATGAAGGTAGTTTTGATCATATCGATTGTATATTTATAGTTCACGGAGCGTGATCTCATTTCGCAACGATCGATTTTTGTTTGGCAATATTTCATTTACTGAGTTTATAGTAGAGTTACGGTTTCTTGGAGGTGTTTATTTAAAGTCATGTCTTATTTCTTAATGTGTTCGATGTCTGGTACTGAGCAAAAGTATAACGACTAGCTAACCAAATGTTATGCTCAGAATTTTACTAAAAATTGTCGTGCATTTAAGCAACAGCTCTGTTCGAATAATAATAATAATTAAAAAGAGTTCTTTTATAAGTGGAACTTTTTACTTCAGACACTTACAACATCAGCTATTCTATGTGATTTGGTTATAACTTGCTAGTCTATGCGGCTTATTGCGGTTTTCTCCCTTCTTGATTCTTCTCCTTCATTAAGACCTGCACTAATTTCGTTAGCTGCTTAATTTATACTTCTCTCTGAGTATGGCTGTTATATTTCTCGCTTATTCTCTGTGAGGCTGATGTAGCAGTGGTACTGTGGTACTGTGTCTGTAAATGTGTCTCCTGTCGTTGTGCTACTCTTCAGATTTAGTGAGACTTGTTTCGAAGGCTATCACTTCTCGTTCTGCAATAGCTTTTCAGTATAAAGTTAAGTATCAGTTAAACTTCCTGCTTAGAGCAGTCGACACATTTTTCTTTATTAATTTTCTAGTTGTAATTATTTATCACTCTTATAAATGTGCACAAAGGCCCTGGACACTTAGAGTGTAATAATGTTACGATATTTCTGTGAAATACTTAATTCACCTAGTAAATTTCAGCCCCGGAGTTTATTCCTTCATTATTTTAGTGTACCAAGTTGGATATTTAAGAGCAGTAAAATTTCGTAATGTAGAAAATATTATTTGATTTATCAGTGCTACCCCTCACCACCGGAGTTAGATTAATGAGTAGATCGTCCCAGATTATGATAACGAAAACTGAGATTTTTGTTGGCAATAGTGGACTAGTGAAGTTTCCATCGGACGATGTTTAAAACTGATTCAGTATTATTAAGACTAAATCTCAATCATGAGTTGTTGTACCTTTATGCCAGTTTTCAAATCGTGTAAACGTGTTATTATTACTTAATTGTTATAACAATTAAGTAACGTCAAATATTTTAGCTATCAAATCGTTATATTACATAATCTCCTATCACCACGTGGTGCCCATATAAGGAGATGTGGATTGTTATATAATTATAGGGCATAGTCCCACAATATGGAGCTGTTTCACATGAGATTCTGTTACATTGGCTGTCCAGTGTGTACAGAGTTTCAATTAAATGTGCCATTCATGTTAGCATGACACCCAGTTTTGCAACCACAAGCCACTTTTTATTCAAAACACCCAGGAAAATTGGAGTCTCCTCCTAATTAATATTAATTATCAATTACATCTGTACTTTAATTCACTGGCTTCTCCTACCACGTGCCCCAAATCACCCACCTTGATTGGTCGAATTAGTGCACCAACATGTTGAGCCTTAACAAACTCTTCATTATTGGATAACCAAGTTTGTGCTTCGCTCAGCATTCTCTATACACCTGGTAACACGTAACTCAGTAACACGTAACTCGCCGTGTTTCATTGTTGCTAATTTTGAAATGTCACATTGGACCTGTTCCTGTGGTTTTCAGTTTTGCTTTTAATTTTGTTCCAATTTTCGAATTTTTTTCGAATTTAATTAGTTTCAATCTGTTAGGTCATTTCGTTAACTTTTGATCCATTCATTTTATGTTCATATTATTATCATCGTTAAATCATAATGCCTACAACTTTCCGGTGACAAAATACCAAAATAGATTTTCGCGACCAATTAACATTTCAAAACACGTATAACAGCAGTCTAGGAATGTTTTGACAGCTTTAGTTAATTTGTTTGACATTCAATTCTGTTACGTTAAACATAAGATAAAATATGCACCATAATATTTCAAACTGTGCAGCATGTATATACAGAAAGACGCTGTGTTACTTATCACATTGAAACCGGTTAAAACTCAACATAGTTTGACAAAGTGTTATCACCATGTACTACAATATGTAGTATACACAATCCTGTATAGTGGTTTAGTGTTGTAGGAGCACTGCACTGTGTAATATGCTACTCTCTGTGTAATATGATACAGTGGCAAGTGCTAGACTATATTTGGCAGGAAACAGCAGATGATCTACTGTTTCACTCTCTCGCACCCGGCAAAACCAGGGGGGGGGCAAGATGTAAGGCTTATTCTAAAAATACGTGCCCCCCCCCCCCTATATGCTGTTTCGTGTTTAAGTGTATAATAATTAATAGTAAGGAATGAACATGCACTTGAGAAGAATGTGAGAGTGCTGTACAATGTGTACAATATAACTCCATCATGTATAATGGATAAGATACAGTGTATTAGTGTATATAAAGACTGGTTAACATGAGAGTGGTACTTTGTAGGGGGACCGTGTGTAAGATACCCTGTCACTCTAAGAGAGGTAGTTGAATTGTGTAGCTGATTTTATACTCGTGCTCCATCTTTTTATAGATCTCTGTGTATCTTGCAATACTTTTTATGTTGTTATGTTACATAATAATGCTACATCGAACATATCTTGTGATGTGACCTTGGTGTGACACAGTTTCACAGTAACTGCCTTCGAGATGAGTTAAAAACAGCAATGTTATGATCTCCAATGTTGAAGTATTGGATGATTGAATTGGAGTTGAAATGTAATATATAAAACCTTGGTATTCCCTACACATTTACTAAGACCAAGTGAGGAGTAAGAAACTATTTCACAGTAGGTTTATTGTATTCCCTACTCGGGATATTCGTACAAACCACATGGGATACTAGCTGCAAACCAAAACACACTGGGTGATTTACCTAGTTGTTTAGAAGTTCAGAAAGAGGGAGCTGGAGTATGTGTGTATTTACCCTCCGCAAAGTTATCTTTGTTTCTTAGAAACATATTGTGGTAATTATGCTTGTCAGATGATACAACGTGGAATTCATGCTATTTAGATGTTTTAAATTGACGATAAAAACAGAGTAACTTAGAATCATTTCATATGACTACTGTCGTTCTGTTTATCTTGCTACTCGATTTATCGCGATGCTTGTGATATGTTTGATAAAACACGACCAGTCTTTCTCTTAGTTTGGCCTAGTTGCAAAGTAAACTTGGTGTAGTGATAAACTCGAAAATAGAATTCTGTACTTTTCTCAGAAGCCATTTCTCAGTAAAGTGCTATTGGGATACTGTTTCTTGTTAGGAAGTTCTCATTCGTGTAACCTTCACACGTTCATGGTTCCACTCTTGTCTTCGTTAAAGGGAAACTGAACATACCCCAATGCAACTAGTTTTTAGGTGATTGGCCAATCAAAACTCAAAATAATTGTTATGTGTCAAAACTAATATGGTTCACCTGTCAGCTTGCTACCGGTATTCAGACATACATAATGGAAATCTTTATAGCCGGTGATTTTAACCGGTTCCAGAGAGGGCAGCAGTATGCACGTGATATTGCACGTGGTATTGCACTTGATATTGCACGTGGTATTACACGTGATATTACACGTGATATTCCACGTGGTATTACACGTGATATTTGACGTTCACGTGATGTTACAAAATATGATGTTTTGAGTCCTCTCCAGAAGCTTTAAGAGCGATAACATCACAATAAACAAAAATTATCTTTGCTTGTTATTTAGACTTGGCCCCTTTATGGCAACCGACTAGATTAGTGGTGTTCTGAAAACATTTTGTACACCAGATTTCTTAAATACGACACTCCAGTTAGCAGATAAGTTTGATAAATTCTCGCCTATCTTTTAACAGTACCTTTATAGTTTATAAGATCGCAATCTTATTTTATAATTGGAGAATATAGTAAACAGTATGATAGCGGGAGGTAGCAATGATGGTATAGACTTTCCTCCTCCTGAATTTGTGTGAGTGTAACTTATCATTATCACGTAACTGATTATCATACATGTAACTAATATAACAAAATATTATCCGTGTAACTAATGTAACTGATTACTATCCGTGTAAATTACATTGCAGCACACTTTTCTCATACCTTGTGTAATTATATACCACCACACCTCGGTTTACTGTAAACAGTTTCCGAAATGGACACGATATCAGATAATTATTTACAGCTAGTAATTACCAAGTACGTGTCATCAGTCACATCAAAGATATGATCTACATTACCAGAAACACGCAAAGCTCGTCAGTCGTCATGACATGACCCATCGTGTTAATTTTAATTGACCTAAAACTAATTGCCAACGTGTGCTTGTGATACATCAAAAAGAAGGCCACCAAATCGCTGTTTTCATTCACACACACATGTGATTTGTAATTTTTAACTGGCGTTACAATTTTGTGATGAAATAAAACGCTAAAATATGCCGAAACATAATTCATATGTACATGCTAATGTATTCGACTGCATAATATGTAATACAATTCACATATTGTACTATGCTTCCCAAACAATGGGTATTGTTATAATGAATTGCCCATACTAAGATATTGTACACCAGCTGGTCCAGCCTTATACAGAACTCATGCCTTCCTTTGATTATCTTAACTCCGTGTTTATTAGATTCGGTACTAACAAATTATTTTCAGGAATTGTGCTATCGCAGATTATCTGAAATCCTCTGGTTACATTGAAGCTTACAATCATTTTGTCCAAGAAGCTGACTTGGTTAGTATAACTATTTGGGTTATTATTAATTGTTTGACAGCTTTGATTATAATTTACGGATATTCGAGTAAGGCTATTTCTGGCTCCATAGTGCCCCTCAGTCACAAATCTCCAAAAAGCGAATACCCGTTTAAAATTGGACGTTCATTTTGTATCACGTCCGCGCAAATTAAACGCGCATTATACGCGCGCAAATATCAAATTTTTGCATCGACATCCGAATTCCATGAGCGGACTCTGGTTCATGTTTCATAGCACTATATCCTGTGTGCAACTCCCACATGACATAATACATTCCTTTAACACCACGTACACTACTGCACTGCTCTACTTTAAGTGGCTACTCAGTATACTAACATAAATCTCCTTTCCAGCCGTCAGATAAAGCTAACGACAAGAAATTTAATGGTCTCCTCGAAAAGAAATGGACTTCCGTGTTACGGCTACAGAAAAAGGTCATGGACCTCGAGTCCAAAGTGACAGAAACTGTTAAGGAGTACGAAGGAGGGCCCACAAAGAGAGAAAGATCGGCTGATAACTGGATACCTCGACCTCCCGAGAGATACTGTCTTACTGGTCACAGAATGCCAATATCAAGAGTTATTTTCCATCCAGTTTACAACGTGATGGTCTCCGCATCTGAGGACGGATCAATTAAGGTATACTTTAGTTATTGAACTGTCCGTAAATTGTTTCTTACAGCTACTCATAATGGTGTTGATAAGCTAGCTAGACGCGACGCGCGATTGGCAGCAACGTCACGCCTTCTTCAGACCTACATACCGCATATTAACTCACATATTTTAAAGACTGGTGTGTGCCGACTGTTAAGGTCTCTGTATGCAGCCGCACACTCCATCACCGTCCTGTGTTTCCATAGACATTAAGTTCGACATATTCTACGATATGCCGTGATTATACCATTTATAAAAACCTGGATCCTATACAAGAATGTAACGTACATGGCGTATTGATCTGACACGTTGATTAACACGCGTGTTTGTAGGTGTGGGATTACGAGAGCGGTGATTTTGAGCGTACCCTCAAGGGCCACACTGATGCTGTGAACGACATCTCATTTGAGAGTTCTGGCAAGATACTGGCATCGTGTTCCTCAGATCTCACTATCCGACTTTGGGACTTTGTGGGGTTCGAGTGTATTAAAACCATGCACGGTAAGTGGAAATATCCGATGACATTTTTAAAGCATTTCATTTTAAATTCTGCCATTTTCCATACTCCATATGGTATGAAAGTAGAGAAGTGTACTAAACTCTCCTTCCTCCAGGACATGACCACACAGTGTCCTCCGTGCGGTTTGTCCCCACCGGAGACTTCCTGGTGAGTGCTAGCCGTGACAAGAGTATCAAGGTTTGGGAGGTATCCACTGGGTACTGTACTAAAACTCTCCTGGGTCACAGGGAGTGGGCCCGGGTTGCTGTGGTGTCTCCTGATGGCAAACTCATCGCATCTGGTTCTAATGATCACGTTAGTTCTTTGATTTCTTGGTCAGATTGGAGTAAGAACGATCTTTCCTGAACTGAAATTCTCTGTTCCAAAATATAACGTCATATCCCTATTAGCACTGCACATTCTAAACGTATGTTAATATAGTATAAGTAATGTTGAAAGTATTCCATCTTTTCAGCATTTTTATACTAAAAGTATCTCGTCACTCTGGATCGTGCAAGATTGGCCTTACTCGAGTCTGATCAGTGATCAGACATTTAAATTGATCGTGTTAATCGTGTAAAATCGTTGAAATTGTTCACCTGAAGTGTCATTTCAGGAGCCTTTAAAAAGTTCACAGCCGAATCAGACGACTGAACCAAGTATTATGTCGTATAACGCTGGACACAAATCCGTCGTTGTAAGCATTTGTTTAAAGCCTTTTAACCGTCTAATGAAGTGCACTTGATCTCATCATCACAATTCTTTGCAGACTATAAGAATCTGGGAGATTGCAACGAAAGAATGTAAAGCCGAGTTGCGAGACCATGATCACGTAGTCGAGTGTGTAGATTGGGCCCCTGATAACTGCACAGCTCACATCAACGAAGCAATACAATCCGAAGTAAGCTCATGTCAACTCAATAAAGTCGATAATCGCTGAACTGAAACGAGTTGTCTAGGTTGAAGTTTGAAATTTCAATCGGAGAATACAAAGTGAAAGTCAGATGAGCTGCTAAATAAATCTTATACCAGAAATTTTAAATTAACAGAATTTCATCCCAGAATCCTCGAGCCGCCAAATCGGACGGGCCGTTCCTAGTTTCTGGGTCACGTGACAAGACGATAAAAGTATACGATGTTAGCACTGGCAGCTGCATTATATCTCTAGTAAGTGCTCCTCTTACTGAAATCTACTGATTCCCTCCTCTATATTGTTTATTAAAAGCAGATGACTAGAGAATCAGAAGTGCTCTGATTTTCCCGTCAGTATCTTATTATCAACATATAATTACCAATTCTTTTTTCATTGTAACCCATCTTGCTTCAGATCGGTCACGATAATTGGGTGAGACAAGCGATCTTCCACCCGAATGGCAAGATGATAGTGAGCTGTGCCGATGACAAGACCATCAGAGTGTGGGACTTCAAGAACAGGAGGAGCACGAAGACTATCCACGCTCACGAACACTTCGTCACATGCTTGGGTATAGTTAACTTAGATAGCATTGTCCCCTTGCTAATTTTCACTTAATTTAATCATAGTTTATCTACACATTGCATTTGTACATTGTAAACTGGGAACTATTTTAACGACTCTCTGTTTCAGATTTCCACAAGTCGGCTCCGTACGTCATCACCGGAAGTGTCGATCAACTCTGTAAAGTTTGGGAATGTCGTTGATTTTGAATATTACCAATACGTTTCCACGGCGATTGTAGCCATGAGAACCGCTATTTCGAACACGAGATCTGCACGGGGTTTTACCAAGGTCACGCCTCCAGACTTTTGTAGGATTTTTCTATGACTCGCGGCGACGGAAAGGTGTTGTAGTGGTTTGCTTGGGACATTTTTCTCTAATACTATCGTACATCCCAACTCTTTCTTTTTGTGATCAGAACGTGAAAATGTTTTAATGGGTTTTATAACTTGTTTGGGCAGTTATTAATTTCTATAACTTGAAAGTAAGTTTGGAGGATGTTAGTTAAAGTAAGTTCAGTCGTGTTTGTAGTTACAGACTTTCGCATAATACCCTGTAACTCTTATCTACTGATCCAGCTGTTTTACTTTTAGTATGTACTCTAATTTAACGTCGATTTTTATTCGTCATATGATTAAGTGTGAAATTATTAGGATGCACAGTCGATGTGGTTGCGAAATTTGGTTCAATTAGGTTGCTCAAAGAAAGAATGCGGTCTGGTTTGGTATGCTATTGTTAATTGTAGAGATTCTTGACATTTCCATCAAATTGAAACATGGTTTTATTTCCGGTATAAAAACAAGGTTAAGATTAAATGGTTTAAATAAATATATTTCAATGTGCTTCCTCTCTTAAGAGTTCTAAAAGTTGAAATCGGGATTATGAATTACCTCTATAAATATAAATGCAATCAGTACCATTGAGCCGTTAATCAAAAATTAATAATCCGAAACCATGCTTGCTATAAACCATGCACTTCAGAAAGGCATGCAGAATAAACATAATCGAGTGAATGATAACAATTTATTCCGTAATTTACTAAAAGGTAACATTTTCTAATAAAATGCTAAGCTAAAGATTTGAAATCACTAACCAGATTCGGCTGTATTCTATATAAAAAAAGTAAACCTTCCCCCTCACCAAAACACAATCTAATAAAGGAAAACAACTATAAACCCATTGACATAATTAAAACGGCCCAATATACATGCTACTGAAAATAAACTTAGTTACAAATGGCATTTAATCATTATTAAGTGCAACCTACGACATAATTGTCTTAGACAACTCGCCGCACTTCGAAGAATCGTTTCAAATAGTAAACTTGTCCTAGAGACATTGCCAGTAGTACTAAAGCTTCGAAGAAAGCCCACCATACCACCCTCTGATTAGTAGATCCGTTTACTGAAAGATTGTGTGTGAGATCAGCGGACAAAGGTTTAAGTAAAACGAAGAAAATTCACCAGCTAGAGCATTTTTAGTACATTTCTGTGAGAGACGTGTCCAGTTTCTGTTTATATTTGTTGTAGGCGCGCGGCGGGAGTACGTTCAGCTATGCTTAGAAAACACTTTAGTCTTTCTTTTTTGCATCGCGGCGTACGCTAACTAACAAACAATTTGTGACAGTTACTGCGTGCCATAATTGATAAGGTGACCTAAATAATTAAATCAATCAAACACGTGTCGATTGTTGACACAAATAGTGAAATACATACTCATAGAATGGGTTCTATCCCTGACTTCCATGTATTCTTGGTCATGTTTAACAGCCACTAGTTGTCCACTCAGCTGTTCAAGTTGTTCTGCTAATTTATCATGGTCTGAAATATGACACGTACAAAACTAGAATAACACTTCACTGTTTACAGTTATATTCACTGGAACATTTTACTGTGTTCCACAATAAAGTAACCATTTCCTGTAAAAAGTAAAATTTGCACAGCGTGGAGATAAAAATCTTTAATCTTGGCTAAGGAATTAACCGGAAGTTGAGTATTGCATATTCTAAGATAATCAAACCTTGATCGACTGTGTCGCCATTATCGTGTTTCGGCTTTTCCCCAATATCCATACTAAACTTTACAACTTTACTAGTCATCTTACTCATAGCATTACCAAAACAGTACTTATAATCTCCGTCCATGTAGGCGCTGAAAGCGTACTTGCCACTGCTCTCCCGTGAGCCTTTGTAAACAGTTTTACCTTCAGGACCAGATATCTGTAATAGAGTTTATACAAATATTTATATAAATATTCAGAGCAATAACCGTGAAGAGGAGTGGTAATGACAAACACGTGTTACTCTTCAGTTGTACAACTGGTAATTCAATTGGTCCCTTGCCAATACCTGTGTCAGTGTAAGCAGATTTAATGCTCATGCAAATACGTAATTGTCATGCAAATTAGCGTAAAATGTAAGCGACATACCCTTACGTCGATGTCGAGGAAGCCACCCTCAGCCACTTCAAAAGTGAGGCTCATTTTAGTGCCACTAACGGCTGTATCATAGAAACATATCTCTTTCTTAGGTTCAATACTGATGAAGTAAGAGTATGCAGGCAGGAGCTGCACTAACAGACAAGTTACCCACACTATAAACATCCTAGCAATGTTGAAGTTTTAGTGAGAGTGGTTAAACTTTTAAAATGGTGAAAATATCATTAATTAGTTATTTGGTGTACCACTCAAAGAGGGAGACCTGAAAATTAAAATACCGTGTTTTTTTGTACGGTAACAAAAGTGTAATAAAACAACTTTAATATTATTACAAACGTTATCTGAGAGGTACGGGTAGAATTAAAAGTACACTTTTTTAGTCAAATCAGATCAAATATACAATTTACAGAAATCAAAAAACAAAGTATTCACATTGAAAAACACACTGTATTTATTTTATTGGTGCAAAAATCTAAATGATGATAAATCGTTGCTTGTGATACATAACAAAGTTGGTCAGGTACACTTTAGTATACTCAAAAGTGGGTTCACAATCAGAATGTGTCCCGACCAAGATTGAACATTAATTATTAAATTCTTTTTTAAATAAACTCTGTGCTGTTAGTAACGAGCAATAAAATGTTTAATGTTTATATAACCTAACCTACTCCTACACAAAAAATCGGGGGGAAAACCGTATAAAAGTAAACAGTCACGAAAGAAAATTGAAATATATGAATCAAACTCTCATTGAAGCCACATCAAATAGAAACAAGTCCACCCGTATAAGTTTATCATGAATTCGCAAGAATCATAAGTTCATTTAAAGCTGAATATCTGATGGTAATTTCAGCAGCGCAATTATTTCCGAGACTAGCTACTCTAGTAGCAGAGTGTACATTTGGGCGAAGTGATACCATCATCTTCACGCAGGTCACTGTTCACTAGATTCGGCAACCGGCATGGCATATCAAATTATTTTTCCCGCTAGAGGTAACAAAGCAAATCAAATAGTTTGTTCTCACAAGAGCTGAGCTTTTAGCTGATTATCCTTTAAAGTTGAGTTGCCTGATATCATCTCTTTCATTGACACTCGTGTAAAATAGAAGATAAGCTTCCTTCTTCCTCGTCTGATCTGCTTTCATTGGTCTTATGACGTGATCATCATATGTAAACCAATCACCTGACAGTGGATTCCGAGCACACCCGATATAGTGGCCACCCTTCCAGAGTTCCTGTGTGATTTGTCACTCCAAACAGTCTGTAGATCCTACCTTCCTCCTTGTTAGAGACCCAGTTAACTTCCCCTACCACTGCTCTAAAGTTGGTTATTGGGAAGTCCACAAAAGTGGTGATCTTGTCCCGCCACATGCCCGTGTAGCTGAATCTCTTAAGAATGACCACCAGAATGGTAGGTAGCCTCCAGATAGTGATGTCCTTAGTTGCGTCTCCCATCACGTGACATTTGTCACACCGCCATTCTATCTTCTCTGTCTGACAAAAGTTCTCAATACAGCTCGCCAGATTGGTGCGAGATTTACCTACTGGCACTGTGAGGTACATGAAGGTATCAAATGTAACAGACTCGTAGCCACACCGCAGACACCGTGTAATGTTCCTGAATTGTCCCTGAAACAGGTCCACAATGACGCTGTTATTCCGTGCTGTGTAGCATTCCCATGCTGCATTTCCACCCTCTTTGTAAGTCATCTTTGAGAAGTCTATCTCTGGCTGCCTCTTTCGTTCCGCTGGCAAGACCTGAAGACACATCAAGATTCAGGATATATGATAAGAACTGTTTTTTTTCCCGTGCATATAATAATTATCGAATAAATGCTGATTTTAGATAAATGTTGAAATCCTTCTCGTGCTAAGGCGATGCATCTCAAAATGATTAGTTAATCAGCTGAATAATTAATTAACTAATTACATAAATAACTAACCCTGTTGAGATCCTCGTGTAAAGCATCCAACATAAAACTAGTAAACTCCTGACTATCCTTCTGGCTATAATCTAGAAACTGCGGTCTGAACCGTCCAATAGCCTCCTTCCAGTCCTTTGGTGCAAGATGTCTGAACCTATCCGACCACATGGCTTTAACCAGAAACGCATACTCCTCAGCTACCAGCCCCTTTGTTCCCAGCGGATTGTCTGGATTGATTTCGTGCTTGTATCTTCCAGATACAAAGTACTGCGTAAGAGGAGCAATGGAAGATAAACATTGTAGGACTGCGTTCATAAAACACGTGTTACCAATATTCTTTAAACCACATGTTCCCATTTGAACAGAGCCAAAGGCGGGCATCATTCTCATGTTCTTCTCTTCAAGAGCTCTGGCTGATAGCGGTTTTACCACTCTGTTCACAGTGGGATTCTTTACTGGAGCAGATGGCTGACTGTTTTGAGGGCGAGCTGGTGGTGATTGTGGTGCTGGTCGTGGGGATTGAGTGGATTGTGGGCGTGGTTGTTGTGGTTGTGAAGGGCGTGGTTGCTGGGGTTGTGAAGGTCTTGGTTGTTGTGGTTGAGGTTGTGAAGGGCGTGGTTGTGGTGGTTGAGGTTGTGGTGAAGGTCTTGGTTGCTGAGCTTGATGTTTGGGTGTAAAAAGCGGTGGTTGTGGTTGTTGTGGTTGTTGTGGTTGCTGAGATGGATTCTGTGGTTGTGAGAGATGTACTGGTTGGGGTTGGTTAGTATTGGTTTGAGGTTGAGTTATGTAAGCTGGAGGTTTTGTAAGGTCCACTGGTGCTCTGTTAGGTCTAGCTGCAGGCTGAACTGACTGGATAAGAGCTCTGAAAAAGATGTAATTGATTTATTAGGCAAATACGCAGAAAATATTCTAGATTTAACTTATTCACTTAAAATTCAACGTTGGCCATTAAAGCATTTCAGTACTACTGTAGATCAGCTGAAAAGGTAACTGACAACAACTTACTCTTTTGGTTTGTTGGATCTATCTACAGCAGGTTTATCTGCAGCAGGCTGAATTGACCTGATATCAGCGTATTCAACAGAAGGTTTACTAGTGTTGGTAGGAGCGACAATGTTGCTCGGGACCTTTCTCCTGACCTCAACTTGAGCGTATATCGGATCAGGAGGTTTGGTTTGAGGAACTTTCGCTGGAAACGTCGTAACAGTTTCCTCACGAATCTGCCAAGTTTGGGGTTAATATAATTACAGCAGGTATTGAATTACAATCTTGACGGGAGCTCAAACTTGCAAATCTTAGGTTTTATTAAATATCATAATATTGAAATGTGATTTAAGATAAGGCTAAAATTAGCTGATCAAGTGATCATGAGAAATATAACAAACCATATTAGGCTGAGATGTGCTCTGTGACACACCGCCGGGAACCTCTACAGCAGCAGACAAAGGAGGAGTAGGAGATACAAACTGGGGCACAGGAGGAGGTGGAGTACCTTCGTAAATATCTGTTATCTTGAGACTGCCATCACTTCTACTAGGTTTAACATGGGTTCTCAACTCTACCGGAGGGGGACTGGGAGTCTGATATGAAGATAGTGCTGACTGGGAGGTAGGAGGTATATTGTGTCTGAGCTCCTGGTGTCCAGGTACCATACTACTGGTTGGCATCACGTGTTTTTCCTGGTTCCACTGATTGATTTGGATAGTTTGGGGCGACTGAGGCATACTGATCTGAACATTGCCACATGTTACCACTGACTGTTGACTAGCTGCTGAGGCTGCTGCTGCCGCTGCCAAGGCTGCCGCTGTTGCATTTGTATCAATAGTAGGTGTTAGATCCTCCACTGCGAGGACAGGAGGTAAAGGTTTAGGTTCTGTGTCTTTGTTCAATTCAGGGTAGATAGCAGCCGCTTTGACAGTAGTAAGAGGTAGCAAGGATGCTGGTGCTGAATGTCGCACCTTCGCTTTAGCTGGCTTTACTTTCCTAGCTCTATCTGGGTTGGTGCAGTGTTTTGGGAAATGATATACCCAAGATGCGTATCCTCCATCCAGAACCTGAAATTCAATATTAATGAGTTTACACTCAAAAGTATCCTCACTGTTACATACCGTCACACACTGTTACACACTATTACACACTGTCACACACTGTTACACATTAAGTTGAGCACGTTAACCTTAAATTAATTACCTTAGGTAGATCAGAGTTGATAAAGTTAGGGTCTAGACAGTCAGTACAACACTCTCGGACAATGTTTATAGGAGCATTGGACAATTCAGCTACTGAGTTATATTGACTGTCTGAGTCGAATATAACTATGACGTCATGTGAACTTCTCTTGTCCCACAGTAACTTGTGCTCCTTCATCAAAATCAGCTCCCTTATTTCACTGCTGGTCAGTCTGAAACAGCACGTCATATTTTAATCTATTTTATGTATCTGACTAATCTAGTGAAATAAATATCTTTGCTAACTTGGAGTTTACTCTGATGAGGGCTCAATGTTTCCAACACACTTACTTTGTGTTGATGTCGAGGTAATCCTTGGAAAGGAAAATAACAGTTTCATGGATAATGTGGCTGTTCTTGAACTCCTCCAGTGTACGTATGTCTATCAGTAAAACCTGTAAAAGTAGTTTGATAATGTTGGAGATGTTTGTTTACGGTAGATCAAGGAGCAATTTAGCAAGTGATAAATAGATATCTCCATATTGTCTCGATTACAAATGTTTAAGAAACATCTTCTTCCCTGAAACCATGGGGAAAATACGGTAGAAATTGAAGAAGTTAAAACTCATTTAGTCACAACTAACTAACCTTCATTTTCGCCTCAATGATGTGCATTAATTCTATGGCACTGATGTATGGTTCTTTAGGGATGATATCTGTAAAACATCAAAGTAAGTTTCCTAAAATATGTTAGTCCTAATCTTCATATTTCAAATATTTTAGCAAATTTTGAACTTTACGATCATTTAACATGATTAAAAAACACAATAACTTAACCTTTAGCGGATTGACCAAGGGGAACTAACGGCGTTGAGAAGGCAGTCTGAAATAATACCTAGTGTTAATTTTATTATGGACACTCAATGGAACAAGTTAATTTTAGCATTGTTTATAATTATAAAGTGAGTTTGTATTTGTTTTGAAAACTTTTCATACAAAATTACAAGAATATAACAGTATACAGGTGTCTTCTATGATAATAGAAGTAAGATCGAGTTTTCTACATGTTACACTAACAGTTTAATCACAGTACATAATATGTGATAAGTACATTACACGTCATATTATATAAACCGTGATAATACATACATGTTATGTATGCAAACAAAGAAAACAACTCATACGTATCATGTACATTATGGAGTAAAATGTGAATGCTCTTACATGTGCCAAACTCATCAGTCTCATTGTTAAGGCCACAATTAAGGGGGGGGGGGGGGTTAATTTTTTAATGCTTTAAATGCTTTTGTCCTCACCAAAATGAAAATTTCTGATCTGGATATATTGTGCATCAAAAACTTAAAACGAAATCTATCTTCTTTTACAGTTTACGACATGAGACCTTGTAACTTGGCAGTGTTTTTCAAGGTCATGTCTAATAGCAATATGTAGCGACTTTTGATTTTTTTTGCTCCAAAGCAAAGATATGAGTGCGCGTCACGGAATTTTCAACAGTTAACCTCATAAAAAGAGTTAGAAGCAAAACATTATGTTGCAAATTTGAGATGGAACGTATAAAAGCTCTAGGAGAAGGTAGTTTCAGTTCAAAAGACTGATTATTGATAAAATATGTTAACCTCAATTTTACGATAGACTAGTCACTAGGCGCTCTGGTGGGCAAGGGGTGGTGCAGAGAAAAACCACTGGCAAAAAATATTTTTTCGACTTTGGACCACATGTTCCTATTGTAGCAGCTAAGAACTCAGTGCAATTAGTACAGCACTAAAATGGAGCCGTGCTCCACTGCAACATCTTATTTTCTCTGGATTCAGATGAATGTAAAAAAATAAATTGATAATTTCAATGCTATGAAGTGTAAATCATAACAGTGTTATGATAACACTAACGCTGTTAAAAAGGGTAGCTGCGTCGACAGCAGGCTGTGCTGCCTCCAGCTTTAACCTCTCCAACTCTGCCAACTCCCTGTCTCTCTGCTCCTCTAACTTCTTCATTTCTTCCTTATCCAACTTCTCTGAGAATTGTGACATACATTTTTAATTTCTTGATTTGATTTGATTTTAGATTAGATTCTAAAATGTTTACCAACTTCAATCAATTCTGTCTTGTATCTATACATATTTATATTGTTTGAGATACGTGGGCCTCCAAATTTGGAATCTAACAATATTCTTTATCGTTCAAACCTCTTAGCTTTATTGCATCTCGCTCATCATATCTCTTTGTGAGAGATTTCTTCAGCTTTTCAGCTCTATCCAATGCAGTCTTACACTTGGTTATAGGGAGCAGCCTACTTGCTTCTTTCTGCAATGCATTAACACTGTTCAATATGACAATGATATGTACATACAATATACAATGTACATATGTAATTACAATACTTTTACATGCAATCAAAACTCAACCTAAGATTTGCCTTAAACGTAAGGCAGTATGATGCAGGCAGCTAGGTATTAAAACAATAATTATGGTGACATCCAGAGTTGATAATTTTGGGGAAACTGGTTGCGTACAAATTACTAACCAAAACTGCCTTGTTTTTATTGATATAGGCAATAGTGCTGCGAAGTTGTGAGTACACATGGAAGAATTTGACAAAGTAGATGTATGCTTGCTCCTCATCTCCCTTCTTGTAGACAGATTCAGCATTTGTGTAAACCGCGTTTGCTGATTTTATGTAACGAAGTAACCTGCAATTAGAAGGAGTCTTTAAGTATAATTATCAAACCGAGGTTACACTTACAAGAACAAAGAATTGTGTGTAAACTTAAAGGGGCCGGGGGTCTTCATAAAAATTATCAATACAATTACACACAAGCGCTGACCTTTAACCAGCGATAATTTCGGCTAGGAACAATATTTTTCCATAGGATTAAAAGCAGCTGATAGATATCACTCCCCTCTATCAGAAACAACAATAAAATCAATTTCGAGATAATTGAGAAGTGAGGTAAAATAAACGTTAGAATAATGGCGTTATTTTAAGGTTAACTGCATTGTTGCGTAGCAACAGCAAGAGATTGCGCGTGCGCAAGCAAGAACAGATTAGCAACGCACTTAGTTATGCTTTATGCTACGTCATGACTAGCTCACATTAACGCTCACGCTATAACTATTCATAACTTCAATGGTTGTGATTGATATTTTTGATGCGCTTAAAGGTATCGATTAGGGAATCCAAATGTTTATAACTTTATAACGTTGTTGTCATCGTCAAATAAAATCCATATTTTCTACAGTGCAGAGCTTAGAGCTAGATCTCTAGATGGTGAAGAGATTAAAGAAATTTAAACATAAATGATTTTCTTAATTTCTTCGAACAAAACTTTCGACTAGCGGGTTTCTAGTACATAATATCTCTACTATAATTCAGAAAATTCTTTCTGCTGTCTGTCTGTACGACCGCCCACGTGCAAAACAAACGAAAAATATGAACTTGCGTAGTAACCATGGTAACGAGGGTTGTTACACGCACGTGCACGTGCAAAGATTGTTAAAACGGCATTTTTTATCGTTTTTGTTGATATTACGTTGTGTTTAGTGCAGTGCGAGCACCATTTTAATTGGCTATATCAGGTGTATCTTCGGTTGTGTAGGATGTTTTTTGACGCGATTTAAACTTACTGACAAAAAATACTATTAGCTTCCTCCCTGTGACCACGGGTTTTCTAGTATGATATAATATAAAGAGATAAAGTACAACTAAAGCACTTGAAAGTAATAACAAACAACACAATTAGAACTTACGTTGCCTCATCAGACTTCTCGTCAATCCGCACATTTTCTGCCTTCTCTTCTAGCTCTTGAGTTGATGTGGCAAGACTTAGCTTTTTCACCATTAACGTCTTGTTCTTGATTGATGCTAGCTTTAAATATTAGAGTACATATTATAGATGGTCTGGTGATTTAATAAGGGCTTTGAGCATCATATATCATTTGCATTGTAGTGTATGAGAACATAAATTTTACATATTAACATCATAGGCCACCTGCCACAACTACAAAAGGATTAAAGATTAGATTATATTAAGAATAATGACAAAAACATCATCACTAGTTTTAAACATTCTTTCTGATTTCTTCATTATCAGAACTGTGAACATTTCACAGCCTTCGACATCAAAAAAACAAACAAAATCTAACATAACTGTCATAACTTATTTACAGTATAGTAGAAATGAAATTAATGAGTAAACAAGTTAAAAAACTGTTCATTTTAAAAATTCAAGAGATATTTATTCCCTTTCTCTTAGCAACACACAGATTTTTATGTAAATATTGCACTTGTTGCTTCTTCTTCTCGATATAATTTAAACCCTCGATCTTCTCTAAAACTGTATTTGACACTTCCCAAAAGTTGCCTGTGTCTACTATATTATTAGTCTTTTTAAATTCCTCTAGATTAATTTTAAGTCAATAACAGACACTGAATTTCTAACAAAAGATGGCAATTTATTCCAAAAGCACAAATTGCCATTGGTGAACTATCATAAAGATGGTTATTACAGTGCTCTCTCCACCATCTCTTTGTGACATTTTTTCTCCTTCAGCCTCTACTACTCACTTTACTGCCTCATCTTCTGGACGTCATTATCTTTAGTTTAGTTGAGGATTCTCAACACCCACTTTCAAGTCGAGTACTCTTGACCTACTTAGTCCACATGCCTTGCAAAAGTTGTAGTTTACAGCACGGTACTTTTAATGGTCTAAGTCCCTAATACTTGCCAATCGTAGGGGAAGAGAAAGCTTAACAACAAATTAGGTGGCTGCATTTTGTTTTGATTTTATTAGGTCCTAGTATTTATTCCTATTGTCTTAAAGTTTTAAGAGAACTCTCCTTAAATTATTTTAATGCAGTCACTCAGATAAGTTTACATCAGGACTCTTTAACAAAGACACATACTCTGCCCACAATAAGGGGCCATAATTGTTTCAATTATGTAACTGGGATTTCACTGCCGCAGTTAAAAAGGGTAGGAGTATTTACCTGTTGAGTCAAAACCTGCATTAGGTGAGCAATTCTATTCGGAGTGCCCTCACGTATCCAATGGTATCTTAAACAATAGTATCTTAAACAATTATCAATAGAAATTAACCCTTAACACCACACCCGCCTATCATATTTGTGAACATGCATTACATTGTCGTATGAAAGTATGAACTCTCTCTACAGTCCAAACAGACCGCTATGAGCTCTCCCTCCCCTAATAAGTTTATAGTATAACATGACAGTGTAATATATACCAACGCTACATAATATTATGCAGTAATGAGAGAGAGAGAGAGAGAGAGAGAGAGAGAGAGAGAGAGAGAGAGAGAGAGAGAGCGAGCCCCGTAACTCTTACCGTTTTCTTGATTATTCTGCTCAAGCCATTTTATGTAACATTTGTGGTACAAAACCAGCAATTAAACCACTTATCAGCGGCCGAGTTTGTTTTTTTTTGTCGGCACTATACCGAAAAAACCAGTCCCGTAACTCTTACTGTTTTTAAATATAACCGACCGGAAATTACACACGCACAGACAAACACACACACACACACACATTCTGAGATTATTGTTTAAGATTATTATTATTCCAATAGCTGATACCATGCTCTGATAAAGTTAAGTATAGTAAAGTAAAAATTATGATATAACATCATAATCATATCATCACTAATGTCTACAAAGTGTCATCGCACTACATGGAAAAATATACAGTAACTATTTCTCCATCAAATTTAAAAGTAATAATTTATCAAATATTAATCATAAATAACAACATCATTAAAAAATTTGTAATTTATTCATACTTCCCAGTGGAGTAAAGATTTATAAAACGTTTCTTTGCTACATAAGGATGAAACCAAAGATAATCATTGTGTTTTTCCTTATTACTGACATAATTGGTACCTTCAATTCTTGTTAAAACTTCTTTCGAAACATTCCAAAAATTAAAGTCATTAACTTATTTAATCATATCCTTTTTAAAACTTTCCAATCAAAATTTAAAACTCAAAACTGTCAAGCAGTTCTTTACCTCCGAAGGGAGTTTGTTCCAATAAGGAACAACCCGCTCTGGAAGAAAAGAACACTGAAGATTCTTGACTTTTGTCACACTCTATCTATTGGATGAAAACAGATTAAGACCTGATCTGCTTGGTCTGAACAAGTCTGAACCATAATCAGTCAAACCATTAATAACCTTAAAAGCTTCAATAAGGTCCCCACGTATTCGCCGCTCTGCCAGCGTTGTCAAATTAAGGATTTCCAGTCTGATAAAAAATTATTTTACAAGGTTTTAATATTTCTATCAATATTTCTATATTTTTAGCAATATATTAAAGGATTGATAACCAATTTATTTATTGGCTTCCCCTTAGGGTATGGGCTAAACAAGATGGAAAATGTTCCATGCTCAAAGAATTGCAAATTTACAGCAGCATCAGCCATTGATCCTTAAAATGGCAAATTTGTATGATTGTACATTACTGATAGTATTTGGAGATACTGGTATAGAGATCACATGTGATGGGGAGCGTCATCTGGGAGCAATGATAGGTGGAGAGGAGGCTAGAGAGACGTATGTAAAAAAGAAAGTAGAGAAATGGGTGAAGGATGTAGAAGAGTTGTCACGGCTAGGCTCTACGCTCTGCACGAGAATGAGAAAAAGAACCAGTACATGAACCGAGTGCTACAATTGGAGAAAGGGTCATTCGTCCCACTTGTATTTACAACTACAGGAGGAGTGGCACCTGAGACCAAGCGTTTCATAAGGAGACTTGCTGTGTTGATAGCCACCAACACCAAGGAGGACTACAGCCAGGTGATGTGTAACATCAGGAAACGCCTGAGCATGGATATAATGAGGAGTGTGCTAGTAAGAAAGACAAAATGTCTCCTTCAACCTGATACCTGAGGAGAAGAGCTACGAGGGATAGATGATATCTATTGCTCAGGATTTACGATTGTGCTCTGCCAATTGCATCACTTGATTTAATTTATTGTAAATATATACTGTTTGACATTTTCTATTTGGATGATTAGGTTATTTGAAGCAGTTGAATAAAAGTATTGAACAAATCAGTGATAAATGATAAGTTGGTTACAACTAGAACTATCGGGGGCCCTTTTAGAACAATCTCGAAGATCGACTGTAAAGTGATTTAGCACGCTCGCGATAAAAATTCAATAAAAATCTGAGTATCTTTTATAAAAACCCTCTAAGTAGTAAAAGTAGCCAATTCAATGTACTGGCTCTAAACTTATATCTTAATCTGCTATTTTAACTGCACTACCACTTTTCATCCCTCTTTCTCTTTTAAAAGCAATTATTGTTGTTTTCAATAAGTCAAATCTAGTTCTTTTCCTGATAAATGTCATCGCCTAACTGTATCTTTGACCTAATTTTCTATACATTTTATCAGCTAACTTTTTGAAGAAAGTATTTGCTTTTCTTCCCATTCCACTTGTTGTTGATAAAACTATTGGTGTAAATGTTCCATGTTCAACAATATTGAATGAAATGGTTAATGGACCATAATCTCATTGCAAATAATTTATCTGAAAACTAAAGAAAAGATAAAACAGTTCATTTTAAATTAATATTTATAATGTGATGCACTATCTACTGGACCGAACCGCGTGCTATATTTTTTTAAAATAAAATTATTCAAACAATATACACATAATATAGCAATTACCCTATATAAAAACAAACCTTTAAGAATATAAAAAATTCCCTAAACACTCAAAAATTACCCTTGGCCTTGTGGCTCCAAGTTAAGATCTAGACTGTTTATATTAACAATGTTTTTTCTCACACCTCTGTCTCCACGGAGAGAAATCACTGTTGTTCTTAGGATTTCAAAGCGAAGGCGCTTTCTGATGTAACCTACAGCATCCGAGTACCTCTGGCCAGTGTGGTACTCCATCTTACTGGCCAGCTTTTTTACCAGTCTTTCAGCCTCACTACCCATTCCACCAGAAGTCGAGAACACTAAAGGTGTGAAGCTTCCTTTCTCCACTTCAAGAACCCTTGCGTTGTAACATCGCTTTTTCTCATTTTCATGGGACTGGTACATTGCTGGGATCGATTTGCTTGCATTGGAGGGGGCTGGGGCATGAAATACCCTTACATCAAAATATGCCCTCTCTGAAGCATTCCAAATCGATCTTGCAGAAATGTCCAGCCTAGCTTGGTCTCCAAGTACTGTTCCCTTAGGCAACTTCAGACCATCAACTGGAAGAAGAACTGGCTCAGTCTGCACATCCTTGCATTTCACAGTTCTCATTAGTTCAGCAAAGGTGTCTCTCAGCGAGTTGTGCCGCAGTGACACATATCCACCGAGTTTGCAGATGAGCGCATGGTTTGCTGAGTACTTTTGGCCACACGTACATGTCTTAGGGCTGTCCTTTAAGTTCAGGTTGTACCTGAGAGCTAATGCGTCTGAGAACTGTTGTTTGTTCATCAGATATCCATACTCTTTTAAAGGTAGTGCTGTTAACCAAGCACTTGCCCCTTTCTCAGCAGCTAGTTGGAACATCAACTTTGCCAGTGGTGTTGACTCGAGCTCCTGGCGTATTTTTTACTTTCATTCGATTGTATAGAATTAGAATTAGAATTAGAATCAAATTTGTATAGTGTTCCTGGTTGGAGGACTTCGCCACTTCGACGCGCCGCGCAAACTGGCATTCTTGCTTCGCATCGAAGATGACGAAATGGTTGCAGAGCAACAATCTGGAAGGGTTGACATCGTCAATCAACATGTTCAATGTTTTTGGGGAAAATTTGTAATAATTCCGTTTGCTGCGACATGGCAATGGACAAAAAAATGTTTTACGTTTTAATGTAACAACATCGTATTTGACCATTGTTAATGATCAGGC